CCGTGAACTCTATGTGAACATGCGCAACTTGTTTGCCGGCTTTTTCAGTTGTGCATTCCTTATTCGACGACTCCCTTACGAATCAAAGATGCAATTTTTTAGATGTCATTGCTGTATCATTTTCTTTATATTTAAATGCATCTTTTCTTATCCCATCTGCACCATATACATATAGAAAAGTTAGAGTTCATGCATGCAAAATTTTATATTTATTCATCCATACCATAAATTCATTGGAACTAAAGAACTCATGTATGTTGTTCTAACATGAACACTGAGAAAGATCTATGAGAAGGTAACACCAACCCACTATAATGCATCTCAAAATGCCTCTTAAACACATAAAGGTATTTTTGTGACATTGAAAAGCAGTGCATTCACAATATGGGTTGGTGCATTTCAAATTACTCGCTTACTATGACCTACACCTCTTTAGCAAGAAATAAATAAAAAATCTAGTGATTCCTGTTATGCCAAAGATGATGCACTTTAGTCTCTTAACTGTGCACAGTATATTACCCACAAAATCTAAGAACCCTAAAAGCAATTTTTTTTAACAAAAGTATCACCTCTTTTGAATCGTTGTTCTTAAAAAAATATGAAAAATCAAACCCATTCAAGGCCCCGACCTTAAATAAACGTCATTCAAACCTATGCAAAAAATTAAAAGAACTTAGCAATTAACGATTGTTTGACAGCGCCGCTCTGCACTTGCTTATCTCACGTCCATCTCCTTCCAAACACTCGGTTGACAAATGCGCTGCCCAACATGTAAGAAGGACTTAATCCCATTGGCCAATAATCTGATGCATTACAGTATACCTTTAATGCACAATTGAAGGAAAAACCATAACTGAACAATAGAGCAAGATAAGTGTATAATACACAACAAACTTAAAAACATGAGGCACGAGTTCATAGAGATAATGAATCACAAGCAATTCAAATGAATTCTTATAAAAAATAGACAAATATGCAGTAAAAATTATCATATTGCTTAAGAAATCATACCTGAATCTATACAAAGATTAGACCAATTTGAATTACTGTAAATGAGCTATTAGGTGTAAAAATTCTAAGGCCTCTACATATTGTAAATTTTAAATCACCACACATAAGCAAATTCATATCTATGAAAATCATAGACATGAATATAGGAAACTGAATCCCTTCGTACATGAGAAATTGGTGATTGCAAAACCACACATAAACAAAATCAAGACAAGCAAAATAATCGAAATAGAATATAAGTTAGATCATGACAGAATCGTAGAGAGTACAATCCAAAAATTATCGAGTACAACCCAAATTATAAGAAAATGCCACGTCGCACCCAAATTGCTAATCATTAAATTAGATAAACAAAATCAAATCACCCAAAATTACAATACTAGTAGTTTGCACCAAAGACATCTTTGGAGCATTTTGTCAAACATGTGGTGTGCAATTTTTGGTGGTATGACTTGGGAAAATCTTTGAGGCATTTTGTTAAACATATCATACTTTACAAATCAAACAATCTGGAGTCCACAGGATGTGCACTGGAGTGTTATACTAATTCACTAAAATACATATTATGCTTTACAAATTAGTCTAGAGTCTACATAAAATGCATTACAAATACATTATAATGCACGGAAGAGTCATTATAATGCACTAACGATTTTTAAATCAGTTTCAAGTCCATCTAAAAAACAATGACAGAAACCATGTTATATCTATGAGAAAAATTGAAATAAAAGGGAGTAAAAAAAGTCTTAAGAGTAATAAAATTGCCTTTATTTTGAACAAATATGGCACAAATACCTTAAATTGTGTATACCAAGACCAATAACTGCCGAATGAAGTCAAATTCTAAAACTTCCTGCAATTTTTAGGTATGCCAAGACCAATAGCTGCTTCAGAATCTCATCCCTCGCTGCATCTGCACTCATGCCCCATCCATCGCAACCTGACTTTTTAACGGTAGCCTCACCGCTGCACCTCGTAGTCGTCTCTCCTTCCCTTTTCCGGTTCGCTCTTGCGAGAAATCAGGGATGAGAATGCCTCACGATGGTTTGCGTTTTAACAAAGTGCCGTAAAAGACTTCTATGCCCTGGCGATAAGATTGATATCTCATTAGACTTCATGAGAATGCCTCACGATGGTTTATATTTATTCTTATTTCTTTCATTAGATCTCTTTCTCATTTCATTCTATATTTCTAAATATTTAACACTTTAAAACACATGTTTTTATTATATATGTTCTTTTTACACATAGGGCACATTCAATCATCTATGCACTTTAAACTCTATAATAAAATATTTAATTTATGTTTTAGTTGTAATACTAAAGTTCAAGCTTTTTGTCTCGCTTATAAAAAAATTAGATGAACTCGTATAGGTTTCACTCGCGTTGTGTTATAATGAGCTTCAACAAGCATTATGGTGCACTCTTCAACAAACTATGGTGCACTCTTTTGAAATTTTAGCATAACAATGAATATGTATAAAAAAATAATACATATTACAGAAAAAGAAGATAAGGTCAAGCACAAAAACAAAAAAAAGTCTCCAACACAACATCAAAAGATGTCCCCGCCATATAACAAAAAGAAAGTAGCACCATTCTAAAAAACTAGAAACTACACGTTACAATATAATCACTCCGCTAAATCATATCACCAATGTGTCTCAATGCCCCTTAAATTTATTAATGCATCCTCTTCAGGTTTGTATGCACCATCATCATGTACAGTTGCATCATCTTCTTGTTACATTTGCATCTTCTTCAGCTTCATCTTCATAAACATATGACTCAACATCAATCTCAAATGTAGGACATACGTCATATCATGCTCATGCACAAATATGACTCAACATCAATCTCAAATGTAGGACATACGTCATATCATGCTCATGCACAAATAATTATATAAACATAATTCTTATATAACGCATATAATAAACTTCATACATCAACTTTCGAATAAAACATAAAAATTGATTGACTATAATTCAACCCTTTATAGTAAATATTATTAACCACCTAAAAATAAATATAATCTAGCCCTTTATATCAACAAAATTTAATTAATTTGGCCCTTTATAGCAAAGGGTTGGATTATAGCTCATTGATTAAAATGATGTTCTTCCATAAGGATTCATTATTTCAT